ATTGGAAAGCTCATAAAATTCCACTTCTAGCTGTGTACAGTTCTTAAATAGTTGGCTGTGAACATATTGGTTTGTATTTTTTTCTCATGTTTATTAGAAGTGACAAAAAAAGCTATATATTGTATTTGTATTATTCTTTTTTTTACTTATGTTGCAGAGCAATCAGTTACAAAGCCAAAGATATATGGTTTATGCCATTAAAAGCAAGTTTGGGGGAAATTCATAAAGTAAAAAATATTCACCGTGCTGTCACGCCTGCCCAGACATGTGATCTTGGAACTGGAAAATTTAAAACTTATGTCGTAAACGAGTGTTAATATTTTTATAATAAAATATCTTTGAGGAAATCTAAATTTGTTTAATGTACTGTACTGTATTTACTTAAGCTCAGTGTATATTTAAGCACCAGTATAAGTGTGGTGTTTGACTTTGTTCTGGATACATTATCATTTTGTTTGTTTTATCTGCAATACCTTTGTGCAAATTAGTTACGTATTGGAAGAGAGTATTGTAAATACTGTACATAATGTTGACATAGCTTTGACATGTACTATCGTGCACCAAAGTCATGTCCACTACCCATCCACAGTGAGGGTTCGAAATGCCTTGAGTCTGAAGTTTCGAAACAGCTGGGGGAAATGCTATGGTCGGCCAACAGCTGTCGCCCACTGTAGTGTGTGTGTGGGGGGGGGATAGAGGAGGTGGGGGTTAGTCTAGTAACAGGCTGTGTGTAGGTGGAGCATAACATAGTGAATTTCGCAATCACTGATAACAATAAGAGTGTCATAAAGATAGTTAATGTTATTAAGCATGGTGAGAGATGTGTAACGGATAAATAAAAGCACTACAACGACCATATCTCTGCCGTTCATGGCTACGACGGTGCGACTGATGGGCACACCAGTAATTAATTCTCCGTGACTACCAGTAATGGAAGTCACGGGGAATACACAAGTTGTTACCAAGGTTGGCACCGCCCACACCAGGGGAAGGAGGTGGTATTGAACACTGAAACATGGCGAGGTCTCATTCCTACCATCGTCGTCACCAACAGGTAAGTCACATTAATTTGTCATCATAGCCCATGTCGTCCTTATACTATTGCAGGGTGTCCCATGAGTGACAGCAGATATTTGTAGAGGTGAAACAATATGTGATATTGAGTTGAAAATCTTCTATACACATAAGCATTTTTCGGTTTACTTTAGGCGTGAGGTGGGTTGTAAAAATTACGCAGGGCAAAAATTTTGCCATGTTATATTTTATTTTTCTTACCAATTGCAGCCATACTGTGTGCAGTTGTAATCCTTATTGGTGGATTACATAAGGCCTATTAATAGCGTGAAAACCTGTTTGAAGATACTGTAATGTTCCATAACTTGCATTAAATGACATCATACGTTCACGAGTTCCGACTCCGCACCTAGCCCCCACCGCCTCTACCCACCCAACTATTAAACCTCATAATTTGAGCATCGTGGGTTACCACACCTAAACACACTCCCCTTCCACCATCCCCCCACTCCTCCCTCCCCCACCTCTTCCCTTCATCTCTCCCCCAAGACTAACGATAATCGAACATTCCATCCCATCACATTACCTTCCCCTGCATTCCCCAACCCCCCCTCCCCCTATTCTACCCATGGCGACGAATTGGACTACTGTAATGAACACTCACAGAACCAACGACATGGCTCCTCCCCTTTGTATTTAGAGTTACCGGTAGTGTTGTGATAGCACAGAGTATGAACTTATTTAAGACCAGACTTGACCATCACTGGCGTAAGTTTAGATACATTCTGGAACCAGTGAATATTCTTTGTAAAAAAATAAATTTTAAATGAATTATTTATAGGAGATAAGTATGTCAGCTGAAAATTGTCAAAGAAATATGTAAAGCAGTGGAAAACCATATACACTGTACAGTATTTTGAGTATCGGCGAGGCTAACTACCTATAAACAATTAATATTTGATGATTGGCAAAAGTCCTGGGAAAATGAACCAACAAGTCATAAGCTAAAAATGATCAAATCATCAGTTTATCCTTGGTCACCGTCAAAACAATCCTCTCGACATTACGAAACTATTCTGAATCGTCTAAGAATTTGGCATACGCGATTGACGCATGGCCAACTCATGTCTTCCCCTAATGGAGCCCCACCTATATGCTCCAACTGCCGAACACAAATAACAGTCCAACATATTCTCATTGAATGCCCTATTTATAATCGGTATCGAACAATGTGCTTCACTAACCCTACAATGTAAGATATTTTAGCAGAGACCCCCAAAATTTTCCCTAAGTTCAGTCTTGACCTTTTTGAAATACTGTACTGTAATCTCCTCCAAACAATATAACACTAATTTATAGAAACACAAATATATGTTAACTAATCCCTCTGGCCAGCCCTAGGAGAGACTCAAATGAGTGTCAGTGGTCTGGTTAAACTAAATCTTGATGATGATGATGATTATCGGCGAATGTTCACTCTACAGTTGCAGGGGTGGTGGTGGAGGTTGGGGGAGGGGGGAGGATCCACTTGCAGCTCACTATGAATACATGAAATAGGAAGGGTTTCTTGGGCAGTTGATCCTAAAAGATTTACCAAAACGTTATGTCAGAGTAATAATACTTACTCTAGTATATAAAAGCCTGCATCAGTTACCACAACATAATATTATTCTGCCATTTCAGATATGCCTGCAGGACAAGCAAATTCGTCGGCAGTGATTGCTGAGCGAAGCCAAATCATCGGGATGTGGAGAGCCGGGGCAACTGTGCCGAACATTGCTCTCGAAGTGGGGAGGAGCACCAAGACGATTAGGAGGTGGATCCGCCGGTGGGAGGAAGAGGGCTCAGTGGAGACGAAATCTCGAAGCGGAAGGCCATGAGTAATGTCGGCAAGGATGGACGCCATGATCGTGGCAGCTGCAACTGCATATCCAATGCTAACATCAGTGGAGCATACAAGAAATCTGGGCCTCAACTGCCATCACATGACGACGAGAAGCGAAGCCGGGATTGACTGCCATGTTCCATCTCACAAAGGGTGGCTAACACCTACTCACAAAGAGTATCGACTCGGCTTTGTATTGGAACACCTTCTACATAGAGAAGAATACTGGAGAACCATTATATTTACTGATGAAACGGTGTTCAGGTCAGTGGGAGCCGAAGCAAGGCAGTGCCGGCGGCCCCCCAACACACGCTACCATGAGAAACACATTCAACATCGCGCAGTGAATGGTAGGGTGTCAGTTTCATTCTGGGGGTGGATGTGGGCACATGGGTCAGGTGAACTGGTCAAGATCAATGGCCGTTTCACTGGTGAGCAGTATGTAGACATCCTGGAGCAAGTGCTAATTCCTACAGTCCGGGCTATGGCAGTTCCAGCCCCCCACACTATCAGGCTGGTTCATGACAACAGTCCCATTCATACCAGCAACATAGTGAAGGACTACCTCCAGGATCACCCTCAAATTGAGGTCATCGACTGGCCAACACTAGGATGTGATATTAATCCGATTGAACATATTTGGGCCATGATGAAACGTGATTGGGCTATGGGGAGCAGCGAACCTGTGCAGCAATAGAGGCCAAAGCTTACGACGTGTGGGAGAGTATACGTCGACGACCAGGGGTGTGCCTGAAGCTGGTCGACTCCATCCCTAATCGCCTTGATGAAGTCCTGAATGCAATGGGCGGCTGGACCAAATATTAAGATGTGTGTAAAAGTGTATTGTTTGGATTTTAGTATTGTTTGTAAATACAATTAATATATATTAACTCACCTACAGTGTTATCTTAAATCCATGTCCTTAATGATGTCTTAAACTATATCGTATGAAAATTCATAACAAAGTAACTTAACAGCCACAAATTATGTAATGTGTGGTATACAATGATCTGTATGACACGCCGTGGAATGTGTTGTCTTATAACACAATATAATTATATAGTTACAATTGCTACCATCATTGATATGCTCATGATGTTCAGCACACAATATTAACGGTAACTGAGCACACTCCAAATTATATGAAGCTTGCATATTGTGGTGGGGTGTTTAAGCACTGGAACTTGGAAGAATTGGGACAGTCACCTACATTACGTCTGAATACTATTTTACAAAACTGATAACTTTTTCACTCCACTCTCTTTAACATAAGTATATAATTATATAATATTGCATATTGTCACAAATATTTATTAAGCAAAGGATGGGTGGAATATAAATAAATATTACCATAATCTCTTTGTCGGAATAACAACAAAATTGTGATGTGGTCGCTGAGTAAAACTAGCTGACCAAGGCCCTTCACCCTGATCCTTGCATATTTCACTTTTATCGTTATTATATTCCATTCTTTAAAGTATCATTGTAACCTGAGCAGCAATAAGTACCCAGGGCACTGCACCTGTTCCACGAATTTGTAACCATAAAGAAACAACTGTAAGACAAAACGTAGTTAAAAAGGCAGCTTGAAATTATGGTGGTATAAATAATAAATAAACCTGCCTCTCATCCAGCCCCCACACACACTACAGTGGGCGACATCTGTTGGCCAACCATAGCATTTCCCCCAGCTGTTTCGAAACTTCAGACTCGAGGCTATTCAAATCCTCACTGTGGCTGGGTAGTGGACACGACTTTGGAGCACGATAGTACATACCTATGAACCCATACCTTTTAATAAAATACTTATCAACATGATTTAGTATATAGATATATTACTGTATTTGTGTATCCTTGCATTTATTTCTATTTTTTTTACTTATTACATACAAACAACATTTACAAAATATTTTTTAGCAAAACCATAATATGGGCTCTATAATGTACAAAATATTTTATTTAATTTTTAGAAAATTACACTTATCTTAGGTAGGCCCAATTTGATTTTATTTTTTTCTCTTGACTGTAGTGAGAATTATATACTTAGGCAAATATAAGTTACTGTGATGCAATTTGCCAAAAATATTATTTTTATTTTCAGTTGATCTTCTGTGTACCTTATATGAAGTTGAAGATGGAACTTTTGAAAGCTGCTAACATAAAGATAGAAAGTAAGCGACTGTGACATGGTTCTTTTGCCTTTGATCATATTCCATTTGAAGTGTCTCTGCTATGTCGTCACATATATACATTTCACTCTCTCTGGCTGTTTTACCTTACTGATACAGTACATGAAATACAGTATACTGTATCACCCTTCCCAAGACCAGTCTCAACATAATCTCCAACTCATCTGTAATCAACTCTGTCCATATTGTATTCGTGCCATACACTATAACTCATCTGCTCAACATGTACCAAACATTCACCCAACACACATAGTTTTTCAACAAAGATTCCACAGTACCTGTAGATTTCTGGGAGCAAGTGGTGGTTTTAAACAAATACTGTACCTAAGTTCCGGAAGCTTTGGAATCATGTGACATACTATAAAGTGTACAACATAACATAAAAGAAATAATAGCCTCCTGATAGAGTAATACTACAGGTACTGCATTTTGTTCTCATATACAACTTCAGAAAAAATGGACAATCTGGTGCTTGATATCCTGGCTGCAAGTAGTCCAGTAGGTGACCAACATTGTTTACATTGGATACTGCTAACTGGAAAATTGTACTGTATTTTACAGCAGGCTAATGAATCTCCCAGATACTGTATCCAGTAGGCTAAATTTACCTAACCCAATTCCTGAATAATAATGTTATTGTTTACTTAAACATACTATTATTATTATATTATTATTACTTTTAAGTAATTCAAAAGGGAGTTATTGAAAAATATTAAAGACAGTTAGCCTCTGTATGGCAGGCACCCAATTCTTCAGAGCTAATCAGTAATGGTTTTTTTAACTCTTATAAGTGTTACTACCTGTATCTATTAATGTCATACCTGCCAGCATCCTGGTCACTGATGCTGGCATAAAGTACCAACCTACCAATTAAGTTTCATCCTAGGTAATCTACCTGATTTAGATTTATTCATACACATCTCTTCGGTAGGGATAAGTGTTATAACCATCATTTTAGTTTAAAAAGTCTCTTTTCCATAGCTGGTCTGTAATACTGTAAATATGATATATATAATGTGTTTGAGTATAGTATATGTACATTAAAATTAACTTGCCTGTAGGGAACTGCAACTTAATATTTATCTTACAGTTTTCATTGTTACTGCAGCAAGTTTGTGCCTTTGTAAAAGTGAACAACAGATTTTGTTTTCAGCCACTCAGTTGGTGTAGGTAAGTGAGAACCACCATGTTTATACTGTACTGTATATAAATCAAATATTAAGAGGAATAAGGAGAATGTTAGTAAATAAATCTAGCATTAAGGTGAATATAAGTAGGAATTTGTATCTACAATACTCAGATCAAACAGGAGGCATTTTTCATATGTCGTTCTAATAACTTTAGATGTAGTGTGGCAGGGAGGCTCAATGATGCTATTACATATTTTACACCAATGATATACCCTTTTAATTTATTGATAGTTGTATTGCTTTGTAAAAATTATTAATTACTCTGGAAATTTGATAGTTTTCAAATTATGTGCTATAATTTTTGTAAAATATATGTATTTAGCAGTTATGGCTCTTATGTCTCAGGATTGTATTGAAATTTTGGTCTATTTTATCAAGATGGCATATGAACTGTATCATGAAAAAAACAGCTTCATATTTATGGGAGGGAATAGCAGAATTATATGAAGAGTAAATACTTTATCATGTTTTACCTGACAAAATGTACTTAGTGAGAAATTAAATGCATACATTGACTTGATCAGACTATAGTGTCATTTAATGTTTCACTTTATAGAGAAATCCATCATTACAATAGATTGTTTTGAGAGTAAGTACAGTACAGTTTTCCAAAAACTAGTATTAATTTTTTGCTAAGGTGTAATAGGAAATGCTACTTGTCACAAACAAACAGAAAATTTTACAAATTCATTGTGCCATAGTTCTGTAAAATTCAGTTGTAAATCACTGATATTTAAGCTCGTCCGAAGAGTTTGTTGACAGATTGCTGTTTATAAAATTTATATCAAATCCAATCAGTCAGTGCAGAAAAAATGTTTTACCGATAAAAAGACAAGAAAGCACTTGTCTTTCTGTCAGTAAAACTAGTACAGGGTATATCCACTCTACCACTGCAAGAGGATACAGGCATTCCGCAGGTTTCAGAAAGGTTCCGTCCAGGAAAATCTTTCCGAAATGCAAAACCATTTTCCCATATACAGTACAGTAAAACCTCGCTAAAGCAGACTAATTGGGGGGAAGGGGTGTCCGGGATAAGAGATTTGATATTGATATTGTAACAGTTTATTTAGCCAGAATAACAGATACAGAGTCGATTAATAAAATCATAATACACAGTGGTTCCTCGGTTAACGAACAGTTCGATTAACGAAATTTCGGTTGACGAATTAGCTTCCATAAGGAATTTCGGTTCGATAAACGAACAAAACTTCGATTAACGAAATCGTTACGACAAACACGTTTTGTTTTGCACATCAGCTGATTGGCTAGTCCGCCAATACAGTAATTGATTCTATGTTTACATTTGTTTCCAGTGAAGTAAATATCAAGAAAGTTGGTCTCTTGAATATTTCTGCATTTTTTGTATTGAAATTATTGGTCATTCTGAAATTTAGTTAACATATTGATAATATACAGTGCAGAAATTATTATCAAACATGAATAAGGCATTAGAACCAATACACTCTATAAAGAATATGGCATGTCATCATCGACTGCCTCTACAATCGGCTGTTTGATATGTAAACAAAGCTGCCGGTAATATGACATACATGAAAGTTACTAGTGTGCCCTGAAGAATGCAGTGATGGCTAGGGAAACACTGAGTAACACTGAGTCCGTTTATTATGGATGAGAGAAATACAAGTGGTGACTCGCGTGTGCCATGCACGGCTCACACAGTCAGACTGGGGCTGCCTTGCCATATGGCAGCCTCGGGGCAATGTTGCCACATAACACGTGCAGTGTTGCCACGTGATTATATATATAAATGCTACTCGGCACAGTAGCTTATGTACAGGGTTGCTACTCGGCACAGTAGCTTATGTACAGGGTTGCTACTCGGCACAGTAGCTTATGTACAGGGTTGCTACTCTGCACAGTAGCTTATGTACAGGGTTGCTACTCGGCACAGTAGCTTATGTACAGGGTTGCTACTCGGCACAGTAGCTTATATACATAACCTACATCTCCCTCCCCCCTCACGCTCATAGTCTTTGTCTTGAGCGGACTTCTTAGTTCTAAGTCGCTCCGAGCGTCGAGGTGCACTGTGGGGCGGATCCTCGTGAGGTGTAGGTGACTCGTCTTCGGTCAGGGGGCCAGCAGCAGGGGGTGGGACTGGCCGGAGGAAGCGGCGGATCCTCCACCAGACACGGCCACTCGGCATCCTGACCTTGTAGTCCCGCGACCGGCCGACGCCCATCACTATGCCAACCTTGTGCCGACGTGTCGTCGTCGGGTCCTGGACGCGGACAAGGGCACCAATCTCCAGCGGCTGAAGAGGGTGGGCACGGTCGTCATACCGAGCCTTGGCGTCCTGGGCACGTGTAGCGGTGCGGCGGTAGCAGCTCTCGGCTTTGGTCTGCCGGTCCTTCGCAAAGGCCTTGGCGTGTGTAGGAACGCAAGAGCGGAGAGGGTGACCATACAGGATCTGGGCAGGGGTAGCCCTGGGGCGTGTGGTCGATTCCACCCTCCTGATGTGACTCCGCTGCTGCTTGGGGCTGCGTGGGCCATCTGGAGGGGACTGCGTGCGAACCACCCCGAGGGAAGTGCCTGCTTTCCTCCTTGTCTCGGGCTTTTGGGCTTGGGTTGGCGGCAGCACTTGTCGTAGTGTCCATAGCGACCACAGGCCTGACACTTGCGGCCTCGTGCAGGGCACCTGTCTGTGTTAGACCAGTGGCCCTTACGGTCACATCCACGACACAGTGCGTCGGCGGCCGGGCAAGTCTTGGGGCTGTGCTGCTTTCCACAGCTGCCACAGGAAGCACTAGGCGGAGGCGTGGAAGAACGTGTGGCAGCCTTCGCGTTGTTGGCCGCCTTCTTACCCTTCTTGTACTGAGAGATTGCTCTCACAGCAGGAGGGGCCCGTAAGGCAGAGGTGGCGGACTTGGTGGCCTCGTACGACCGACATTCAGTCACTACCACCTGGAGTGTGGAGGAAGCGTCCAGGGGGATGAGTCGCTGCACCAACTCTTCCTGCCTGACACCTGCCAAGATCCCGTGCTTGATCCAGGCTTCCTCACATTCCCGGCTGTGCGCCTTGCAGACGTCGATCTCCTCTGACAAACTCTTCAAACGCACAAAAAAGTCGTCAAAGGATTCGTTCTCCGCTTGCTTGCAGCTGGTGAAGGCACGGCGACGCAAAGCCTCGTTGTTCCGACCTTTAACATGCTCCTGTAAAAGGTCGAGCACATCCGTCACTGAAGAGGTAGAATCGGGAGGCACTCGCAACGTGTGCTCCAAAACTCTCTGGGTCTCCAGCGACAAACACATCCGCAGTTGGATGAGCTGTTTGTTTGGAGGCATGCTGTCCAGGTCCACCATCGTGGAGTAATCTGTCCAATGCAAAATATATGATGTTTATATTCAAAATGATCACCAAATTGTAAGAATTCCAGCAATGTAAATTATATTCTGGCCGGGTAATTTGTATGAATTTTATGAGCTAAAACAAATATCTTCAGTTAATAAAAAAAAAAATATTCTTCACGACACTATCTGTCAATCAAAGTACCCCACCTTGCCTCCCCCCTCTTCCAACCGCGCGGTCAGTCCCAACCCTCCCCCCCACCCCCCACCAATCCTCCCTTCAAGAGAAAGGTTGGGTGAAAAAAATAAATTTTAACATTTTGTATTAAATAATACCTCAGATTAAAGTTAGGATAATATAATTGACATTGCTGGATTCCTTGTAAGACCAGGAATATTTTGAATATAAACGTCATATATTTTGCACAAAAGATAACATACTTACTCAGAGTGAACATTTTATCTAAAAATTTTATGTCTAATGCAAAATATATGATGTTTATATTCAAAATGATCATCAAATTGTAAGAATTCCAGCAATGGAAATTATATTCTGGCCGGGTAATTTGTATGAATTTTTATGAGCTAAAATAAAAATCTTCAGTTAATAAAAAAAAATATTCTTCACACGGTAACAGATGGTCTGTCGCTGGTCCCTCCCTCCCTCCCTCCCCCCACCACCCCCCACCACCCCCCACCAACGTCCCTACTAGATAAATGTGTGGGAATACCAGACTGTTTACCTTTTTAGTAATAAATAATAAATCAGACTAAAGTTAGGATAATATAATTGACATTGCTGGATTCCTTGTATGACCAGGAATATTTTGAATATAAATATCATATATTTTGCACAAAAGATAACATATTTACTCAAGAGTAAACATTATATCTAAAATTTGTATGTCTAATGCAAAATCTATGATGTTTATATTCAAAATGATCATCAAATTGTAAGAATTCCAGCAATGTAAATTATATTCTGGCCGGATAATTTGTATGGATTTTATGAGCTAAATAAAATAATTATACTTCACCGTGTAAAGGGGTACACCCACCGCGGAATGTGAGCATCCTGGGTTCTGTCAGGGCACCGCGTAAACGTGGAAACGCGGAATGTGGGACAGCGTAAAGTGAGGGTTGACTGTACAGTACAGGTTGTACCTCTCTAGTCCGGCAACCTTGGGACCTGACCGGTGCCAGACCATGGAAATTTCCGGACCATGGAAATTCACCCTTTTCCTGGATAGATAGTGACTTGTGCTTATACTTGGAAGCACTAGCACCACTTTCACTCCTTCGTGGTCTCTTTGAAGACATATTGAAGGGTTAACTGTTGTACAGTAGGTTCTCAAATTTTGCGAGTTTTTAATTCAACTTTTTTTTATTTGGACACAAAAAACCACTACTCAATTTAAAATTTCAACTGCGGAAACTCGAATTTCGACAGGTTTGAGCAGCCCTCCAACGTTCAGACATGCACAAATTGTGTAAACAGCTTCATTTCTCTTATGTACAAAAGATTCATTATTGTTAATTACTGAATGTCTTTTTGATTGAATTAATTTTTGTGTGCAAAATGAACAATACAATTCATTAGTAATACGTAGAATATTAAAACACACTAGGAAACAAGACGGCATTGTTTTCGTTGATTACAAAACCAGTGACTGACTGGTTGTAGCTGTAGTAAAATTAATGTAAAAAATTAATATGGTTGTTCTAAGTTATGTTATTTAATTTTAATAAATGGAACAATATAAGTAGCTAACCATTAATGGTAAAGAAAAAAGTGAGATCACGTATGTAAGTGCGCACATGTGAAAACATATCGTCATTACTATACATAAGAATATAAAAGCAACACTTATTTACTGTTCATATATATTTTAATTAATGTTTCTGAATTTAAAACAAAAATTCTACCCACCAGTGGTGGTAAAGTTGAAAACATAAGGACAGCCAATGTTGTTGTGTGCATTTTTACTCGGAGGACGAAGTTGCCAAGTCATCAGGTTCAACTCTAGCTGAACCTGTAGAACATAAAACCTTTTTCTGTGTTTTTATTTAACTTTATCTGTGTTATTTTCGTTGGTTTATTACGATGTTGCTTTATTACAGGTAGGGTAAATAGGGCAAAATTTAGCCAAACATTGAAAGTACCAGACTCAAATTAGTTTTCTCCATGGGCAAACTAAAATCGTTCTTGACCACAGAATGCTGGACTAGAGAGGTACAACCTGATGGTATACAGTTCCAGGAAATGTGAGGAATAAAGAAAAATAATACCAACAAAAAATACTGTATTGCCAAATCAGTAAATGAAAATTCGACACAGCCGCCATTTGCATATAACTCCCTATTTTACCATAGTAACGAAGATCAGCTGGCACACTAATTCCCTAGCAACGCCCCCCCCTACCCCCTACACTCTGCGACCGTCTTCCCTTCCCTCACTCAGCCAGCTAACTCGTGTGCAAAAAAAATTATATTCCCTTTATGTGTTTGCCCTCAGGATAATTTTATTTCTTTTACCTTTTTCACAATATGAGTAAATTTAAATGAAGAAAGTTATGTATATCTACCCAAAAATATGAGTTGAAAAACAACTATAACACCACAGCTTGGCCCAGTAGCCTGGTGGTTACAGTGACGAGTTTAACCTGGCTACAATGCCATGATTAATCACTATTAAACACTATTATATCAGTAAGCCCTAATAATAACAGTAAATCCAGTGGAATATGGATATTATATCAATAAACACTAATAATAACAGGAAATCCAGTGAAATATGACAGGGAGGGAAGAGAGATACAACTGCAGACAACGCTCTTCTAACTAGTGGTCACTCACTCGCTCCCAGGCTCCCGTTACCAGGCATACGATTGAAATATGTATGACAGAAATACATATCTTCTAGTCTAATTATATAAACCATGCATTTACCTATGATAACATAATACAAAACATTGTATCATTACTAGAGTGAATGAAATAATATTCCCCAGAACAATAATTAATAACTCTCGGGTACAGTAATCCCGTGTTTTTCGCGGGAATTGCTTTCCTGAAACCCCTGCGAAAAGCCAAAACCGCGAATACTCTTTTAGGAATCACTGTACCTGTGGCCACTAAACAGCTCAGGTAGGTCATGCACTTAACCACGCCATGCTCTCCACTGATCACTGATGCACTGTACCGGCATTAACTAACATTATTATTTGAAACTAATCATATTGTAGTATAATAGTGGAAAAATGTAAACAGTTATATACCCAAAAAATTTATTTCCAAGTAAATAAATTTTTTTTTTATTTTGCTGAGGTTGGCAACTCCCGTATTGCCAGCCTCTCCCTGATGTCCCAGCGTCTGCCCGCCCTCACGCAGTCACGCCAGCTAGCCAGTCCTCTTCCACCCACATTCCTCCACTTGAAGACTTGTATTCTGACAAAAGACATAGCTCATACCACCTCTGAGCTTGTCCAATAGAACTGTTTTTTCTGTTAAGGTCATCACTATTCTTGATCTCTTGGTCACTTTGGAGTCTTTGCTAGTAATATTTGCCTTTGATGAGGCTGGCTTACGTCCCGGAGCCATGTGGAATGCACGTGGGAGGACAAACAGAAGAGGTAATCACACTAGCGTTCACTGTACAGTAGGCATGTGTGGACTGAGGCTTCTCGGAGCAGCGGGTGTCTGAGGCGGGAAAGGGTGGCATCTGTTTGCCGCACCGCACAAGGGAATATCGAAAATGGCGCGAAATTAAAATTTTTGTTGTGAAAAGATATTTTATATATATATAATTTTGGAGTATAAAAACAACGAATGGTCAAAACCGCGATAAAAAACCCGTGAAAAACACGGGATTACTGTACCTGTGTGACACGTGCTGACGCGTTGGTCCCTTGAAATTTTACAGATGTCATCGGAGGACAAATTTTGTCCTACTTTTTTTTATTTTTTTATTATTTTTAGGAAAATAATTTTGTCCGGCTTAAGGGATATCCGCCTTAGCGGGGTCCGCCTTAACGAGGTTTTACTCTACTGTACAGGTAGTTCTGCTATAACGCGATAATTGTGTTCTTGTAAAATATCGTGTTATAGAAAATCGCGTAATAGAAATAACAGGGCTTATGGAGAAAATAGGGTTAGGTGCAGATTACTCCAAATCGAAAAAAAATTTTGTAGTTAGCCTAACACAAAGGATAGCACAGTCTAAATAAATGTTACATTCATATCTAATAATGAAATCATACAGTAAATGTTACACTTTACCTTGAAAAAATATGAATTTAACTTGATGGGGGAGAAGGTTAATGTTGAGGTTGAGGAGTCATGCAGACAGGAGTTGATAGTTGTCATCGTCATCATCATCATCAGTATCATCATTAGGTGCAGTTTTGGTTGCATGGGAGGGAAGAAAAAAACGTCTAATTCCAGAAGTGGATGGCTGTGGTTCAGTGTCTTCAGTCTGCTTCTTGGGGGTTGACTTAAAAAAGACGTCTAATGTTTGCTGTTTTGCCGTCTTTCTTCTTTCACAAAGAAGCTGTTCATAAGGTGCCAAAAAAGATTTAACACCACGAACTGCAATCCTGCTCCTTTCTGCATTGTAGTCATTGTCTTCCAAGCGCTGCAACTGCGTATCAACTTCCCTCAGGATAGAAGATAAAACAGAAGTGGGAAGCTCTCGTGGTTTTGCATCCTGGACTTCTTCATCTTCGGCATCTTCTATTTTCCCAGAATCAACAAGTTGTTGTAGATCTTCTGTAGAGAGGTCTTCACAGTGGGACTCGAGCAGTTCTTCAACATCAGCGCTTTCCACTTCAGCAAAGCCAACTTGCTTTGCAAGAGAAACACAATTTTCTGTAATTTTTGGGAGCTCCTCTGATGCACCAAAGCCTGTAAAATCATGAATTAAATCTGGGAGAAGCTTCCGCCAAACTCCACTCAAGCAGTCCTTACTTACTTCACCCCAGGCCTCCACAATGATGTCAATTGCATGCTTGATGTTGAATTTTTTCCAAAACTGAAGAACACTGGCCTTATCATTTCTTTCCTCAGTAGCTTCAATAAGTTTCTTAAATGTACGCCTCAAATAATAGGCTTTGAAGGCTGCTATTACTCCTTGGTCCATTGGTTGAAGGAGAGATGTTGTATTTGGAGGTAGAAAGAGCACTTTGATATTGTCAGAAAGCTCAGCAACAGTGGGAGGGTGGCTTGGCGCATTATCTAAAATGAGGAGAATCTTAAAATCTATATTCTTCTTCTTGCAATATTTTTTAAACACATTTTCAAAAACATCCACAAGAAGGCCAGAAAAAATTTGTCCCGTCATCCAACCTTTTTTGCTTGACCTAAAGTGAATACCTAGAGTAGACTTTATGTAACCCTTTAAAGCTCGCGGGTTGACAGAGTGATACACCAACACAGGCTTAAGCTTTAAGTCTCCACTAGCATTTGCACCCAACAACACTGTCACACGGTCCTTCGCAGCCTTAAAGCCTGGAGCATGTGCTTCATTCTTGGAAATGTAAGTTCTTGTTGGCATGCGCTTCCAGTATAAACCTGTTTCATCCAAATTAAAAATTTGGTCTAAGGTGTAGCCTTCTTCCTGAATCAATTTCTTTACAGTGGGAGGAAATGCCCGGGCACTTGCTTCGTCGGCACTTGCAGCTTCACCACATAACTTTACATTATGAAAAGCATAGCGGTTCTTAAAACCAGAAAACCATCCACTACTAGCACTAAAGGCAACCACATCATCAGGATTTTCAGCTTTTTTCTTTAGGTCTTCATATATTGACAAGGCTTTCTCTTTAATGGTGAGGAAGCTGGTCCCAGATCGCTTTTTCGTTTGATCTTCTATCCAAACACTTAGAAGCCATTCCATCTCCTCAAGTTCCTTTGGCCGTGATCTTACACTTTTGCTAGCTCTCTTGGTTTTTCCAGCAACACAGCTTGCTTTAATCTTTGCTGCATTGGCTCTAATGGTGCGCAAAGTAGACTCCTTTATTCCCGTTGCACGCACAATATCACATGTTCTTTCCTTATTTTCAAAACGCTTGACAACATCAAGCTTGCCTTCAAGTGTTATAGCCTTTCTTTTACGATCACCACCAGAAATGCGATCACCAGAGTGCTTCCCAGAGATATTCTTCTTTTCCATAGTCACAAAATTGGAGAAACAGTAAATCAGAAAGCACTGAGGACGCTTAAAAATTTCTCACGTCTTCCAAAGTGAACGTGTGGAGTAAAGAGAGCGCAGGTCTAAAATGCTACGTATTTTGTTTTTCTCTCTTAGTTAAAATTTTACATTTTACATATACTGTACAGGTATACTGTATACATAAATATTACATAAATTATTTCTGCCATTGTTCACAAACAAAACACATAAATCAATTGAACATGTGATGTCAAACGTGAACTGTAAACACTGCATAACCCCGCGCCAAGCCACAGCACTGTACATACTGTACAGTACACTTTAAACGCTACGTATTTAGTTTTTCTTTTATTTAAATTTTTACAATTTACATATATATATATACCTGTATAAGTAAATTGTAATTTACATATTATTCATATTATGCTAGAGCGCCCACAAAACATAAGAAACGTTTGAGTCCCCCAGTAGAGATGTCCGTTCTCTATCCACTTCAGGATGTCTTAGTTCTCCGTTTTCTTTTTGTGTACTCGCTCAGGGACTCAAGTATTTCTGTATATGACACAGGATGATAAGGGAATTTGAATTTATTTGTTTATTTATTTATATATATAATATACTGTAATATATTAAATATACTGCAAGTATTTTCTTTAATTTATATACGTGTTTTGCGACAAAGGGAGGCTACATTTATGGTGATCGTTAAGGACCAAACTCCGAATCCATGACGTGACTTCTGTTCATTATTTATATCCTAAATTTACCACTGTAGGTAGTTTCAAGAATTAATGCAGTCATTTACTGAATATTCTTTGCAAAAAAATAAATTTTAAATGAATTATTTATAGGAGATAAATATATTGATCAGTAAATATACAGATATGCATTACTGACCACCTCCGAACACAAGGACGGCTAAAAATAGCCACAGGCGGTCACAGTCAAGGTCACTTTCCCTTTCTTGTCACTGGCAAATGGGGGTGGGGGGTGGATGATAATAGCAGCTGTGTTTATTACGGTATGTTAGACTGGTTTATAATACATTTTTATTATTTTAATATACCGGTAATCTTCATTTTAATCCAGCTTCCCAAACGTAAGTTTCAGTATAAAATAATTAGTGGTACTGTAGGACCTTGTGAGTGGTTTACTGTATACATAAATATTACATAAATTATTTCTACAATTCTTCACAAACAAAACACATAAATCAATTGAATATGTGATGTCGAACGTAAACTGTAAACACTGTGTATGATGTAAAGAGAGCGCGGGTGTAAAACGCTATGTAATTTGATTTTCTCTTTTATGTAAAATTATACAATTTACTTATAATATATAGGTATACTGTATACATAAATATTACATACATTATTTCTGCAATTGTTCACAAACAAAACACATAACTCAATTGAACATGTGATGTCGAACGTGAACTGAAGTCACAACAACCGTTCGAGTGGAATCGCGTTAGAGCAAACAAGTTCGCGTTATACAAATATTGTTCCGAATTCATAAATCGCGTTCGATCAAATTCGCGTTATCAAAACACGCGTTATAGCAGAACTCACTGTACTTCCATTATAAAAGTTGAGATGCATTTTCCGGAAAAAAAAATTTAGGCCCAAAAACGTGACCCAAGTACATAATATATGTATGAAATCAGATGGTTTTAACCACATACAATGAGTCAGTTATGATGTAACATGATAATAAATGAACAAAACACTTGAATTTTACTTACCAGAAATAATGTTGAGTGCTGCCGGGGGTTGTGGGATAAAAGTTACTGGGAGTTACCTCCTTAAAACATCAAGTTTAATATTCAATAAGGAATCTTTTATCACCACTTCTTTCACTTGAACTTGGTCTTTTTCCACTCATCTTGAATAAGAATGCTAAGGACAATACAAGTTGAACCTTGATGTAACGGCACTGGATTTACCAGCAACTTGCATTTAATGGCAAAATTTAGAGATTGTGATTTTATTTATATATTTTATTTTATTTTATTTATTTTATATTTATTTATTTATTTTATTTTTTAGGTCTGCCCATAATTTTCCAATAGTTCCTCTACCTGCTGCAGTGCTCCTGCAGACAGTTTGTTTTGGCATTGAAATCCAGCTGGTGCTGTGCTTGTGATCGTCTTAAATTTCTTCTACTTTGTATCAATTATGGCCTCTAAGCGACCTGAAAACCTTACTGGAGTTGCTAGTCACCTAAAGAAGAAAAGAGTTTCCCTGAACATTGTACACAAGGTTGAAATATTATGGAAATTGGTGCCCGGATAATAAAACATTACCAAAAAATAATTAATATTCTCCCAAAAAATCACACACTGGATCCCAGATGAGCTATTGCACTGTAGTATATTCTGAGTCTCTTGCTTTCAGAATGGTAACACTGACCAGCTCTCACTAATAGTGTTGCTAGCAATTGCCATCTCTCAAGCACTGTTGTAGTCACTACTCAAGAGAGCTGGTGGTTACCACAGGATATGTCTTGAGCACTTAGTAAATAATATTGCAGCATATTTATCAGAACTTAATAAATATTATTTTGGTCTCCATATGACCTGGTTTATCCTCACCTTTTCACCTCACCTCATAGTGTTTCATTTATTTATTACTATTATTTACTTTATTAATACTGTACAGTATGTACATTTAGAAAATATTTTTGTTTGCATAGTAATTATAAGTAGATTATTTTATGTGGCAGCCAAGAGAAGGCGCAGAAACTGAACAGGAAACTAGCACATACAGTAATCGAACACACATCAGCTGGGCAGTCACCAGCTGACTCAGAGACGTGTGTGTGTGTGACTATAAAATATGAAAACTGACGTGCATGGGTGTGTATGTGTGTGTGTGACTATAAAATATGAAAACTGACGTGCATGGGTGTGTGTGTGTTGGAAATGAGCACTTCCCACACATACACAGCCATGCACACCAGTTTTCTTATTTTATAGTTTTACATTATATTTTCTTTATTTCGAAGCCACATTAGTAATATCTCCGTTAGCTCGAGTCCCTCAAACCTGGAACTCTCCGATAGCCGGAATTGAAATTTTCTTGGAAATTCATTCCCAAAGCTGTAATTTTCTCGAAAATTCAGGCTTTCGGAACGATTTTCTGAGGGGCACATTTTCTGGAAAATTCCAAGAAAATTTTCCCAATACAGGTTGTACCTCTCTAGTCCGGCATTCTGTGGTCCGGAAACTCCCGTGGTCCGGAACGATTTTGGTTTGTCCAATAGGTAGATGGGCAGCATTATTTTTTTTTTTTTTACTTATCTGAAATATTATTATTATTACAGGAGTATTAAATTTTTGCCCCTCAGGCCCCAATGTGGGTCAGTGACCTATGCCCGGCTGGGCTAATCCCCTTAAAAAAAAAAAAGCCGCGGGAAATTAAGGTTTGTTTACATCCGGCAGTTCGGCTGCACTCTCTCTCTCTCTCTGCTTGTCTATACAGAGTACAACATTTAACCCTTCAATATATATGAGCAGTAAATAAGTGTTGCTTTCATATTCTTATGTAGAGTAATGACGATATATTTTCACATGTGCGCACTTACATACGAGCAGTCTCACTTTTTTTTTTACCATTAATGGTTAGCCACTTATATTGTTCCATTTATTAACATTAAATAACATTACAGGTACTTCAAGCAACCATATTCATTTTTTACATTAATTTTACTACAGCTAAACTCAGGGTCTTATTTTCTTCAGTTTTATATGTAGAACCAATCAGTCACTGGTTTCGTAAGCTTTAACATAAACAATGCCGGCAGCCGTCTCGTCTCCTCTAATATTCCACGTATTATTAATAAATTGTATTGTTAATTTTGCACACACGTACATTAATTCAATAAAAACAAATTCAGAAACATTAATTAAAATATATATGAACAGTAAATGAGTGTTGCTTTCATATTCTTATGTAAAGTAATGACGATATGTTTTCACATATGCGCATTTACATATGCGATCTCTCTTTTTTCTTTACCATTATCGTTAGCTACTTCTATTGTTCCATTTATTAACATTAAATAACATTACTTAAAACAACCATATTAATTTTACTACAGCTACAACCAAGGTCTTATTTTCTTCAGTTTTATATGTAGAACCAGTCAGTCACTGGTTTTGTAATCAACGAAAACAATGCTTTGTCATTTCCTCGTGTTTTAATATTCTACGTATTATTAATGAATTGTATTTCTCATTTTGCACACATAAACATTAATTCAATAAAAAAGACATTCAGTAATAAACAATAATGAATCTTTTGAACATAAGAGAAATGACGCTGTTTACACTATTATGCACGTCGTCTGCACATTGGCGGGCCGTTCAAACCCATCGAAATTCAAGTTTCCGCCGTCAGAATTTTTATTTATTTATTTTTTTGTGTTCCAATAAAATACGTTAAGAATTAAAAACTCGCGAAATTTAAGAAGCTACTATACGACATTTAACCCTTCAATATGTCTTCAAAGAGACCATGACGCAGAGAAAGTGGTGCTAGTGCTTCCAGGCATAAGCACAAGTCACTATCTATCCAGGAAAAGGGTGAATTTCCATGGTCCGGCACCGGTCAGGTCCCGAGGTTGCCGGACTAGAGAGGTACAACCTGTACCTGGAAAATTCCGGGGATGGGGGAGTGTTTTTCCGGGTCTGAGATACAAAAATCAGGCGCATTTTTTGGAAATTCCGAGAAAATTTTTCCGCTAGCTGAAAAATTCCGGGGATGAGGGATTTTTTTTACCCTTTGAGAGAAAATGTAATGCGCAGTTTCTGGAACTTCCGAGAAAATTTTTCGGTTATCCCAAAAATTCCAGGGATGAGGGATTTTTTCTTGCTCTGAGAGTCAATCTCGTTACCTAGAAATCTCTCATTCCTGGAAGTGTTCTGCACCAATTGTTCTGGCTAATGGAGATATCACTGTTGTAATTTTTATTCCTTTGCTCTGTATTAGAAAAAATTATTTTACGAGGGTAGACTATAATATCCTGAGTTATTTATGTCTCATGGGAAGTACATGTTTGTGCGTTTATTTACTTATTCGACTTGAATAGAGGAAACAATGATTTCTTAAAATTTATTAGTTTTTATTACAAAAAACTTACTCCAAATAAATATCAACACCATCTCTGAAATATTTCTAATTTCTAATTAAAATATTATGACAAATATGATAATCTTGGGAGCTTGAAGCAACAGTTTAATCAGTAAACCCCCCCTTCCCCACTTCGATTTAACGGCCAATTGGATTTAATGGCATGGTCCAGGTCCTGTTGATGCCGTTAAATCGAGGTTCAACCTGTACGTATAATAGTCCAGAAAACTGAGGGAAAGCAGAACATTGGTTGGAGATTCGAGCAGACTGAAACCGTTGTTGTTGTTGTGGGAACTCTGGCGCTTTTTTGCTATGACAGATGCAATCACATGAAATAATTTTTTATTTATTTTTTTAATTTTGATTAAAAATCATGATTTTTTTTATTTATTTATTTTTTAAAAGTCAAAATTCTGTAAGGGTGATTTGTTTTTCCATAAACCAAAATTGTGGTCTGAATTTTAAAATACCATAAGTGCAAAATTCCGTAACTGTATCCATTTTAGGCAACATAAAAACAAAGTCAGTGTGTGATGACAAGCCTAGGGTATAATTATTTTACAACAAGCAAATTGGAGGCAAGATGTAAAATTGACTTGTCAACACTTATTTTTCTCTAGCTGTAGAACAAACTGTACATTACCAACTAAAATTAGTTGATAAATAGGATTCACATAGTGAGAGACACTATGCTCCTGAGACAGTATAAACAACAATAATGTACAGTAACTGATAGAACTTCAGTTAAACTAATAGCATGATCAAAATTCTTTCCACAATTAGAATATGTATGTTCCCAACAGTGAGGATTTTCTTTAGTTCTTTTTACACTCGGAACATGAATTGCATAGTTTTACAAAGGATGTCTTTTATAAAATCTGATCCCCAATATTTTATAAGGCCATACAGCAGAGGTATACTGTACATAACATAATACAGTACTGATATACATACACAAACTTTACATGCATTTCTGCACGACTCAACAGTGACTGATACTCTATCTTACATAGTTATACAGTTTCACTATTTAAGGTACATAACCATCACTTGGTTGAAATACTGAGTGAGTTACTGTACACTATTATTCTACATTCAAATGGACATTAGTATCATTCTTAGTAATTTTACTATCAAAATTTGCTTGGCCTGTATGATGTTTATTGTTACTTGATTGAAAGATAAGAGGGTTGTGGAACCTTATTATTGAAGGCATAAAGACCAGGGTAAAATTTGAGATTTTTATTCAAAGAATGGGTCTGCTGGCTACTTACAAATAAAATTACAAAATAAATACTGATAATGACAGCACAACATATATGAAACTGACATCACATGGTTATATACAATGATATGATTCCAGCAACAACAAAAATGAAAAATATTAAATCAAACGGTTATCCTGGTAACAAATCGTATTAATTGATTAACATCACTCAACAACATGAATACTGTATTTACTTCTTTATAAATAAATAAATACAAAAGTCATTACAACAGGTCACAATAAATTATACAAAAACTTACTGGCCAGTTCCAGGAAATCCAAAGAATAAAAGTAGTGATGCCAAATACTTAACACAGATTCTGAACAGCTTTGACTCCCAGTGATAATTGATTATGAAAATAGATTTTGACAAACTGTACTTTATTTTCCTTAACCTATGAAAAAACTATATTTTGACAAAATATTGACAACCAGAAGCTGCTCATGGCTGATCACAACCATAGACTGAGAGGGTGAAAAAACTTCTTAATGTTATCATGTTACAAACACATCCAAGTACAGTAATATAAAACCATTACAGTTCACCTCTCAGTTGTTTACAGACTAATATATCCAACGTAACCAGTGATAATTTAAAGTTAAAATGTGATAATAAATTTTTCATGTTAAAGGTAACATCATCCTGTATTAATTCATAAAACTTGATTTTTTCACATTCATTTAGGACTGCTACAGGACTCTGGGTTCTCCTTGTGGTCAGCTTCCAGGTCTGATACTAACAGTAGAGTAGCTTGTTAAATATATTCCTCTAATCCCTGAGGTGTGTATGAATGATTAACTCAAGAGAACTACTTGAGCATATATTTTTTTTTATTATTTACTGAAGAACTTTATTAACCTAACAAACACATTTTGAAGTTATGAAAACAAAGAAAGTTTCCTAATTCGAAGTAAACAAATAATTGAGATATAAAAGGGTATTTTACCTTTTTTTTTTAATATACAGAATATATACAGGAAAACCTTGATTAATGCTGCTTTTAGCACTCCTTTGTTATAATTATCAGTTGTTGTTTTTGTTGTTTTTGCTAGAGAAAAGAAATTGTCAAGCAGTTCAAAAGTCTCACTCAATGTCTCATTCTGCCAGTTATCAACATACGAGTCATACTCGTGAAGTAACTCTATTTCTCCTTATTTGTGCATAATTTTGTGACCCCTAATTGACCCATAATGTCTGGGGAAAGGTCTGCAAGCAGGTGATAGTGTTAGTAATGTGGCCAACCAGTCAAAGAAAAGCATCAGTTTGGATGTGAAAATGCAGGTTATAAAGTGTGTGGAGGAATGAAGTTTAATGAACCTTACTTATTGTGTCCTAAACATTCAAAGTTTCTTTCTTTCTTTCTCTTTTTAATGGGGAATAGTCCACCCGGACACAGGTGATCGACTCACAATGGGGCCTGTGGGGTGAAAAAAAAAATTACTGATATTAACTTGACCATCAAAGTTTATTCCTTTTTCATAATAAAGAGATTATTATTTGTATGGCAGATATGAGGGTAAATGTTATATCTCTGTACATTAAAAGATGAACATATGTTCCCGTTATTGAGGTCTACTGTATGAAGCGAACAGTTATAGGCAGTTACTATCATTCTAATATCCTAATTTCATGTACGAGGTGCGATCCAAAAGTTCCCGTACTGTATCGATAAAAAAATGTAGACTTACCTTAGGTTCTAAGCACCTCTGAAACTACGTTTGGGGGATGTTCTTGAGCACAGCGTGCGTTTCTGCCTGAATCTCCTCGATGTCAAATTATCGCCCCTTCAGCTTGATCTTCAGCTTAGGGAACAGGAAGAAGTCACAGGGGGCTAGGTTGGGGGAGTAGGGGGGTTGGGGGACCACTGCCATGTTGTTTTTGGCCAGACACTGCTCCACAGACACAGCGGTGTGGGCCGGCACGTTGTCATGATGCAGTAGCCAGTTCTGTGCTCGCCACTTTTCTGGACGTTTCCACCTCGCATCCTCTCTCAAACGCCTCAGGACCTTGATGTAAAACTGCTGATTAATTGTCGAACCTACAGGAACAAACTCCTCATGAACAATTCCTTCCATGTCGAGGAAACAGATCAGCATGCTCTTGAATTGCCTCGCTTTCTTCGGTTGCGGTGAACTTGGATTTTTCCACCGAGATGACTGCTGCTTGGTTTCTGGGTCGTAGCCGTAAAACCAGGTTTCATCACCAGTGATGACCTTGGAAAGGAAGTTCGGATCGTTTCTGACCTGTTCCTGGAGGTCCCTGCACACAGTGAGCCGGCGTTGCCTCTGTTCCTAGGTAAGCAAGTGGGACACAAATTTGGCAGGAATCCGCCTCATGTTGAGTTCCTCCGTTAGAATGCGTAGGCATGAAACATATGATAGGTCAACGATGCTGCAAGTGTTGTTAAACGGTCACCGACGGTCCTTGTGGATGGCCTGATTCACTTTTTCAAAATTTTAGTCGGTTCTGCTGGTTGAGGGCCAACCAGAACGTTGGTTATCCTCAATCGATGTTTTCCCACGTTTGAACCGTGAGAACCACTCGAATGACTGGCTTTTGCCCATGGTGTCATCACCAAATGCTTGTTTAAGCATTTCGTGGGTTTCCGACGCGGTTTTACGAAGTTTGAAGCAAAACTTAAAGCACACACGCTGCTCCTTCACTTCTACCATCTCTCTTCTTGTAAAAATAGCAGAAAATCACTAACACTAAAGCACAAAAAATGCACGTGAAAAAAAAAAAAGTGCGTGTACCACCGTGTCACCAGGCATACTGCTTCACGACAAATCTGTTTAGCTCCATCTAGCGGCCCGAGTCCGTACTATGGCCTTTTAGCTCTCCAAGCAGACAGTCCGGGAACTTTTGGATCGCTACTCGTAAATGGAACATGGGAGGCATTAGAAAGGGTTGTTGACTTTCCACATACATTAACTAATATGTTTCAAAACTCCTGTGAAAGCTTTTCAAATTCATGCATTTAACAGTACAGGTATATGAAAAAATATATTTTGAAAGTGTGTGGCAACAACAGTATGCATTCTGTTAACAGTAATATACACTGTTGTTATATGGTAACTTAATGTTACTCTGATATCATAGCAAGTTATGAATTACACTCTTGAGTCAATGTATACATACTGTACAGTGCATTACAGTATTATAAAATTATGATATCAGATTTTTTTTCTAGAAATATATCTCAAATGGGAGCTAGTCCATAACTCAGGTCATATGACATAGATATGCCATCATGGCTCATACCAGTCAATGCCTGGGGGAGACAAGCTGCATATTGCTCTCGGCACTTCACAACTTTTATGATTCTTTACTACGCTGTTTTACAATTCTTTGCCACACTGTCAGCTTTCCACAAATATTCACAACATACTCTCAAGTATGACTGATGCATTCACCAATGTTTGTGATGACATTTTTTCTTTTTGTTACATCAACATTAATGACTACCTTTTCACTCAATGGCACTGTTACAACATCTATTCCTTTTGTTATGTTCCCCAAATCAATGATAGTACTGTACAGTATTCTAATATGTGCCCATGTATACAAGTACAGTACTCAATATCATATACATATGTATTTCTTGTGTTAAGAACAATGTTGAATGTGATCCCCTCCAATTTCAGGGTGTAGTTTAGAATCGAAGGCCAAGCTTTTTTGGAACAAATTCTGTCCAAAATTCACCCTGCGGCTGAGAAATGTGGAGGCTTATATTTATCAAAATACAAGAGAGAGAGAAAATTGTTTTGGTGGAATATGTTTGAGTAATTTCTAGTTATTCAGATAAATGGAGCTAGTGAAAACCCTAAAAAAATAATAAAAAAAAAAGGTTCAAAGGCTTTTTATCAAATACTGTACATTCAGTCGTGATTTTTTTTTTTGCTGCAAAATTAGTGAAATGTATATTACCCTAACAAAACCTAACCTTACCTAATCTTACATTACCTTATCTAACCTAACTTTTTTATTTTATGTTTTTACGGGGAATAGCCCACCCAGGCATAAGTCATCGACCCACAACTGGGGGGGGGGGCCAAAAAAATAAGAGTTAAAGGAAATTAAAAATAGAAAAGAAAAAGACTATATTAAGCTACACCACAAAGATGCTGGAAAATCAGCATTTTAAAGTGAGACAGATTGTAAGAGTATGGAAACACAGAAGAAGGCAGAGCATTCCACAGTTTGGCTGTGTGAGGAAAGAAGGATGTACTATAACGGGTTATTCTAGTGTGACTGACAGCCACAGAAATTGTGGGCACTGCGGGCAAGACGAGTGTTATAAGCCCACGGCCTTGCTGGCAGTACATAGGATGCCAAATTCACTGAACATTGCCCATTAAAGTGCCTGTAAAAGAGAGAGAGTTAAGCAACATTGCAACGAAGAGAAAGGTCATCAACAATCAGTTGGACAGAGGAAGAGCCACCCCAGACATGAAAGCAATACTCTAAGTTAGGACGAATGAATCCCATATATACTTGAAGTAACTGCTCAGGAGTGAAGTAGTTACGGCATCTGTACAGCATTCCCAGCTTTAACAATGTTGTGGATGTGTGGCTTCCATGACATATTCGAGGAAATGGTGAGACCTAGCATATCTATTTTAGAACGTGGCAGAATGATTGCGTCCTGAAATGTGATTGGTGGGAGATCATCTAATTTGGAAAGTGTTATTGGTAAATACTGAGTTTTATTACTATTGAATTTAACCAAGTTTCCATCTCCCCATTCGGAGATGCTGCACAGATACGTATTGATAAATGAAATGATATCGGCTCTAGAAACAGATCTAGTTTGAGAATTAGGGGGAAGGGAAAATGTGAAGAAGAGAGAAGAGTAGAATCATCAGCATAAGAATAGATAGAATTAGTCGAAGTGTGAAGTAATTCATTGATAAGAAGAAGAAAGAGAGTAGGCGAAAGAACAGAATCCTGTGGGACACCTAACTTAACCTAAGAAAGCCATAATGCATATGACTAACAGTTAAGTTCTCTAGAAAAATTTAAATTTCCTTTTTTAAAAGTACATCTGCAGAGATAACAAAGATAATCATTTCTCCAACATATCTTTAAATCTGTTGTTGATATACAGTATAAACGTAACTTAGGATGCCACTATTATGCATTTAACCTTTGATTATCTCTGCAAATGGATTATAAAAAAAGGAAGGTAAGGTAAATTTAGGTTAGGTAAGGTTAGCTAAAGGTTAGGTTAGGTTAGGTTAGGTTAGGTTAGGTTAGGTTAGGTAAGGTAAGGTAAGTTAAGGTAAAGATTGGGTTAGCCGGAATCCTTCAAAGCTGGAACTCTCCGATAGACGGAATTGAAATTTTCTCAGAAAGTCATTCCCAAAGCTGGAATTTTCCGGAAAATTTCAGCTTTGGGAATGATTTTCTGAGGGGCACAATTTCCAGAAAATTCTGAGAAAATGTACCCGATAACTGGAAAATTCCGGGGATGGGGGAGTATTTTTTCCGGGTTTGAAAGATGAAAAGCAGGCTCATTTTCTGGAAATTCTGAGAAAATTTTTCCGTTCCCGGAAAATTCCGGAGATAAGGGATATTTTTCTGGGTTCGAATGATGATGTAATGGGCAATTTCTGGAACTTCCGAGAACATTTTTCTGTTACCTGGAAAATTCTGGGGGATGAGGGATTTTTTCCGGCTTCGAGTCATCTCGTTACCTAAAAATCTCTCATTCCCGTAAGTGCTCTGCACCAATTGTTCCAGCTAACGGATATATCACCATGTATATTGGATTATTTTGGTCATTGGTTAACCATTGTCCCCAAGTATTACTCAAACATAATTCCATCTTCACTAATGACTCTTGAAGTACATCTAGCAACTATCACTTATGATTGGTTGATGATTTTCTTAAGTGAGTGACAATTGGCCAACTAGCTCATGCACTGCCATCTACCTTCGGACAAGAGAACTGAATTTACAGTGTAAACACTAGTGTTACAGACTACTTAAGGACCCGTAATTAATTTTTGAGTGTGAAAAATTTACGGGACTGTAAGTTACGGTACCGTGTCTCTGCTACTGTACGTAACTGATAGAGGCGTTTTGAAAATGCAGCTCAGTACAGTAATAAGAAATGTTACAGGTAGATAACATGAAAGATAATACCGTATGCTTGTAAGTGTTGAGAAACAGTTGCAGCCTTTTGCCAAGTGGGTCAAACTAAGGCTTTACTGACACCTGTGGACTCAGGTTATTACTGGTAACTTTTTATAAATACAGTATACAGCTTTTATATTGACAGTTATTTCTCATGTTTTCTTAAATTAACAATTTACAATAATAAAAGTTTTTATTTACATCACTGTATTTCATTTTGGGGTTGTATGGGGACTGCATCCTTTAATGTTCAGCATAATTTTTTATACATTACAGTACTGTATTAGGATTATTTCATGTATATTCTGTGCCTATTATTTACAAAATTCAGAAAATTCCCAAATCTAGTTTGTTTCCAATCCCATGCTTCCTAAATAATCAATATACAGTAGATCCTTGCCATTCACAAGGGATAGGTTCCAAGAAATGGCACGAATTGACAAAACTGCAAATAGCAACATACTACCTTAGTGTACTACTGTATACCTATACCAAACAACTGACCAGCCACGGCAGCACTCATCCCCTCTTTTGACTTATCTAATAATAAAACTTTCTTTGTCAGGGTCATCAATGACCTGTGCCTTTTATATTTCACTTCACTAGCATCACGAGGCAGTCTTTTAAGGGCCACTTCACACAGAAACACGAAAGTTTTGAGAGTACAACACGAGATGCTGTGTGGGGTGACTCATGCTGTGGGAAAAGGCTTGCAAGCTAGCCACCATCTGCTTACAGCAAATCGTCAAAATTGCGAATGGCAAGGGTCTACTGTACATAAACTTACAATAAACAGGGTGATTTATTTTATTTATTTTTTTTTTTAAATTCAAGAGCCCTAAATAATTCCCATACACATTTGAAATTCCCATGATGTGACGGATTGGAAAACTGTTAAACGTCACTGACAGGTTGCATGATAAATCACACGATACCTGATAACTCTTTGGATCATGTCACATTTTTCTGTAACATTAGGCTACATTTAAACAAAACATTAGGGTTGTAAGTGATATAGTTTTTAGTGTATATAGTAATTATTTGGGGTTCTCAAATAAATAAAAAATCAGACCTGAACTACCAGTATACTGTACTGTTTACAGTAAAGTAGCTAAACCCTCTATAATTCAGTATGTTAGGGGTTCTGTCCATGCCATAACACTGAATCTGTTGAAATAGTGTGAATTTCTGAAATTTTATGATACACGTGTGCTGTACATACTAATAATCCATAAACTTTTGTATTTACCCCAATGATGGCTAGGTTTTTATGTTTACTCTATGAATACAATTAAAGCAGCAAAAACTGTCTGTGGCCAGAGTGGTGGTTTGAATGGGTGTGAATGACTTTAAAAACTTACTCTGTGTTTTGTCTACAGTGTAGTACTATGACAGTAGATTAAAGCAAAAATTACAGAAAAATCTAAAGTACTGAAGGTTATCCAAGAAAATCATGGTTACTGTTAAAACATCTTAAATGCATGAGGCAAAAAGCATTCATCACCACTGGGTGACCCGAGTTAAGAGTCTTCATCATTGAATGTACAGTATGTTTAATAACATCTTGTCTTGGTAGTTTTTCTTTTTATGTATCCCAGCTGTTTTATATTAAAATTTAACCTAGAAAAGTGAGATGTGCAATCTTTTTATTATTTTCCTTGAGAGAAGTGATTTATTTAATGCATCTCAGGCAGAGATAAATTTTGGCAATTGGCATTCCTTACTTTGTCCATTACCAGCTTGTCATGCTTCTCTGTACATTCATCTTCACAAACTCTTATCTCAATTAGAGGGTATACTTAACTGGCTAGTGAATATCTTTTGTAGTAGTGTTTTAACTCTACAATTGCTCTAAACACACTGCCACTAGCTACGTTATAAGTTTTTTGTGTCATAGTTTGTTATGTCCATAGATAATGGCCACTCCTTGTACAGTATATTTGGGCTGCTCCCTCAGAGTCTGTTTTAACTTTTATCACTGTGGATGATGCCGTGCACTGACTTTGAAAATCCCAACCCCATCATACCTCTTACTCTACTACAAAAGATAGCAAGAAAAATTAGATTAAATGTTAAACATAACTTTTTTGTTTTCAGAAAGTCAAGTTTCATTTCTATGGAAAGATTATTTTTTGAAGAATGGAAAAACAGCATCTTTAGAAATCAGTTGTAACCAGTTGTAGCCAGTTATGGAGAAGTAATAAGTGCGTGGAACCTAACCCCCATATACCCAAGGCATTTTCTCAAGTAAATTCATTTTGCATTGTGTTTTCTAGGTCTTTTGAAGCTGTATTGGTAAAAAAAAAAGGTGAAAGTGTATACATGAATGTACCAAGGATATCCACTCATAAGGGCTGACAAAAGTTAATTGAAAGGGAGCTTTGTCAGAGATTCTACATATACACATGCTTCCAAAGCCCCTTGAGTCACCCAGTTTGACACAGCAAGTAAAAGGTGGTTTTGGCAAATTTGCAATGCCAAAACCTGGCAAATTCCAACTTAGTGAATACAGAATTAATGAGGGTTCTGTGTATTTTGTATTGTATATAACTTCCAAACTTGTTTATGGGGTTAATGTTTGCAATAGAGAAAAGTGTTGAGCATGACTACAGGAGACTCAAGTGTCAAAAAAAAAAATTAAAGAAACCTTCAATCCTATTACAACAAAATTATAATTGTATTGTTCATTACATATCAACTGATACAATACAGTCGAGATAATCTTATACAGCATGCCTTTTAAATTCGTGGGTGTTAGGTTCTCAAAATGGCCGCGAATCGACAAATAACATTTGCTGACTGGGGGGGGTGTGTTACATTTTTACTTGTGTACAAAGAAATGTATATTCCCTTTATGTTTGCCCTTAGGACAATTATTGATTTTACCTGTATTGTATATATGCAGGGCCGGATTTACCTACTTGTGGGCCCCAGGCCAAACTCATCAGTGGGCCCCCAAATTTATAGAGATGTTTGCATGTTTCAATGACTGACTGCATGACTGGCTGAGCGAGCTGTCAGCAAACCAACGGTAACCGTGACATGTACTGAACGTGAAACGATCCTGTCCTTCACACGTCAAGGCGCTGAAGGTTTCTTGAACTTTACTCTCTCTCCAGTATATATGTATGTATAGATAGAAAGTTAGATAGATAGATCGATGGTGGGACACGGACATTTAAAAAATGTATATATATATATTTTTTTTTATTATCTTATTTTATCTTATTTTCTTCATTTTACTATAGGGCCTAGTCCATGGCCCACCTGGGAACCACCCCATGGCCCACCAGTTGAAGACCACTGCGGCCCTATACTTATTGTACAGGGGCCCTTATGGTTGTGAATATATTATATAATGAAATACTCGGTGTACACTTGAAACAAGGTTATACGCTGGCACGTTGCGCGTCAAACAGTGCCGAATTAACCATGAGGCACTGGCCACAGGCCCCCCGACTCTAAGGGGCCCCCAAATCCAATCATTCTCGAAGTTGAAGCATATAAAACATGAACTTCGTTCAACGATGTCCTAGCAACGTCTCAATTTTCTGTCTCTTATGAACATTGAATGTGTTATTTTGCAGAAGCTTAATATTGATGAAATCATTGATAAATTTTGGTATATTTTGTTCTTGCTATATACTGTATATATATACACTATATACCTTGAGGGTAGGGGGCCCCAAGTTGATCTGTGTCTCAGGCCCCTATTAAGCTTAATCCGGCCCTGGCGACAAATTAGTTTCAGTGGGCCCCCAGATACCGGTGGGCCCTAGGCCAATGGCCTACTTGGCCTATTGGTAAATCCGGCCCTGTATATATGTGTGGATGTGTGTGTAGAAACACACACACACACACACATACTGTATATACAATACAGGTAAAGGAAATTATTGTGTCTAGAGTGAATGGCTCCCTGTCCTGGCCGTAAAAATGCCAGCAACTTTAAAAATACCCACAGACATTCTTGGGTACATCCAGGGTCTCATCCACAAATTTGAAGGGCATGCTGTATACTAAAAGTAAAGATATAGTTATTATTTCATTACATGTTATGAAAAGTATTGATTCAGTTTGCACATATCTGTATAAGGGCATCACACAGCAGCACTATTGCATGAAATGTCAGTCTCCAATTGTACTTAATGTACAAGTGCCACTAATAAAATTAATTATCTTACCCGGGTTTTCACATCATTCTAATAAAGAAAATTATTCATCAAATGAGCAAACTCATAATTCAAACAATATCTGAGAATATGTAGCTTCACATATGCTATTAAAAACTGTACATCATACTTATTTTCAATATTTTCTCGTAGTATTACATTAACTCTATGGATTCCCTGTTACACCCATATACGTATGCACAAAAATGGCATGCAAGGAACATGAAATGTCCACTGATGATGGCTGCCATCCCTACAGCATACTTCCACTGTTAATGGTAGCCATTTAAGCAGACCCAGAACTGCACCACTATAAACAGAATTATGGACACCGTACAACATGACAAGACTTATCGTGCACCAAGAGCAACAAGTTGTAATTATCTCACATGCTAACTATAGTTACAGTACAGAAAGATTCCCATAAATTTTCAGTTACTTTTAAGTCAAACATGTGACTTACCCTTAGCAGCTCAAGATGTAATCTAATTCATAGAGAAATATAAACTACTGTATTTGATGAATGCACATATCCTTAACTTGTATCCTAATACCATTCAGGAGAGGCATATGATTACTACAGTACTGTGAAAAGTTTGGCATTACTTGACAATAACTTCTAAAGTACAAGGATACTTAAGTACAATCAGGTGGCTAAAGTCTGATAGTGGCAAAAATAAAATCCACTTGCATCAAGAATACACTACATCTTATTACACTCCAGGACTTATAAAGTCTTTTATAAGGAGCAGAGTTAGACATGAAACTTAAGAAGCTACTTGAATGGATTTGCAGAGTAACAGCAATGCACACTTTTCTTCTTACTTTATTGTTGCTGAGAAAATTTGGCTTTAAATTGGAGAACAAAGAAATTAGACCTGAAGAGTAACACTTGTGAATTATTAGTTGCCAGTCACACTAATACTGTACTTTAAAGGTGTTAATTCATGATGGATTTTGGCAGTCTGTCCTCCCATTAGTCAAACCCTCTTCTACTATCTCCATAAACTCTTCATCCTCATCCTCTTCATCATCATTATCATCATCATCTTCATCCTCTTCATCAACACCTTCTATTTGTTCATCTTCAGGTTCACTCTTCACTTCAATACTGGAAACCTCCGAGTCACTGGAATTGTTTTGATCCAAGAAAGCCTCCTCATGTTTGTTCACTGGAGGAAGGGTGTCAGTATCCTGCTCTCCAGCCTCACTCTTGATTGGGTTCTTGGCACACACATGAGTGCTTACATATACTTTCCGCTTGAACACTCGACCACACCAATTACATGGGAACCTCCTTGCTCCTTGGCTGTGAAAAGTCTTAAGATGGCTTTTGAGTGTCCCTCGAGTACAAAATTTCTTAGAACAAGCATTGCATTCATAATTTTTTATCCCCAAATGCATGTCAATGTGGCGCCTGAGGTGAGCTTTACGATAGAAACGGCTGCTGCAATGTTCACACCGGAAACGCCGTTCATCATCACCCCCATGTAACACAACGTGTTTAGCTAAACATGATCGACTCCGGAAACTACGTTGACAGTGAGAGCAAGTATATGGTTTTTCTCCAGTATGAATTCTCTCATGCATTGTCATATTGTACTTTTGAAGAAACCTCATACCACAAAACCTGCAAGCAAATTGCTTTTCACCAGAGTGTACCTTCTCATGTTGCCTTAACCCTCCAGTGGTTTTAAAACGAAGTTCACACTTATTGCACTTGTAAGGCCGATCAGTACGGTGTGTTGCCATATGGGCTGCTAATGTACCAGACTCACCAAAACAACGTCTACACTCCTGACAGCGAAAGGGTTTCTCTCCTGTGTGCACTCTAACATGTTTCCTCATAGTGGATTTGTCAGAGAAAGCTTTATTACAATATGTACATTTATAAGGCTTTTTACCCAAATGAATATTCATGTGGATCTGAAGGGAGTATCTGGCAGTGAAGGATGTGCCACACTCGCTACATGTATAAGGCTTTTCACCTGTGTGTGTTCGCATGTGATATTTAAGATGCTCTTTACGTCGGAATGTTTTCCCACATAAATTACATGGCTCTGTTCGCCGATCTTCATGTATATCTCGATGTTTCTTAAAGTTGCCAGGAAGGCTGAATCTCTTTCCACAAACTTTACACTGGTATGGTTTTTCACCTGTATGTGTTCGCATATGTCGTTTCATGCCTGTTTTGTCTCCAAAACTTTTTTGACAAAAATAACATATTATAAGGCCTTCTTTTTGATGATTTTCAAAATGCTTGGCTAATGCCTCGCCATTTGGGCACTCAGTGTTGCAATAAATGCACGTTAAACTCTGAATTGCATGAGGTGTAGTGGTTGCTGTAAGTTTTGCAAGTGCCATGTCAATTTCAGGATCCTTATTCACTTCCTTCTTTGGACCCCTTTTGTACTTTCTGGGTGTTGTTGTTCCATTTTTCTTTATTTTACTGGCCTTCTTAAGGAGATCACTGGTCATGGGTATTCCACTTTGTGACTGACCTGTTTGAATGTGGAAGGATTCTCTATTGGGACTTCCTAAGAGGATCTTGATTTTAAATGGACTTATTATGTTGACACTTGGCATGCTGAATTCAGCAACTTCTTTTATTACTGGCAAGTTTGTGTCTTCAAGGGATGGCAAGAATCTATCTTCATCTATCTGCAGAGGACCAAGGGAGTCATCTGAACTGTGTGTATCAATGTCAATTTCATCTCCTGTAGTAACCTCTTCTTTAATAAGCCTTGCAAAGAGTCCTTTGTGTGTGCCCTCATCATATTCATCAGCCTCAGTTTCTTTTTTTTTTACCTCAGTTTCACTCTTTAGGTCAAAGCCTACATCTGAGAGTTTATTGATTTCCTTACTGAAGTCTTCAACTGTCATATCATGTTTAATGTCCTCTATTGGCTCTTCCTTAATGCTCACATCACCAAAGATATCCTTGATTGAGGGATAACGGTTAGTGCAGACCCCAGCAAGGCTGGAAGATGCTGTATCATTTGAATTACCTGCAGATTGTTCATCATTTGTTTTCTCAGCATCTACAACACGACTGAAGCCTCGAGTTCCCATTAACTGGTTACTTGAATCTGAAAGTCGTCGACATCTAGATTCCTTTTTGTTTGGTATTTTACCATCAGTGTTATGTATAGCAGGTTTTTCATCAATATCTTCATATATGTTATTAATTTTAAATTTGAGAGCATCAGGAGAAACTACTTCCTCAGCATTAGCACAAAGGTTAAGAGTATTATCATCTAGTACAATATATTCAACATCTCCAGAAAGCGTACTCATAATGGTAGGCAAAGAGACACATTCTCCGTCCCCAAGAAGCTCAGACTCTGGTTCATCATCTTGGCAGCTGTCTATCATAGAGTTCAATATCTTAAGTGAATTTTTTTCTTGTAGGGCATTATTCTCTCCTGCCGGTTTTCCTGCTTGTGTCACTTTCTTGTTAGATATTTTCCTTGTACTGACAGATTTTCGTGCATAGTTTTTAGCTCTAGATTTTCCTGTCATGACTGTAGGGGAGAAAATATTGACTGTGCAGTCAGTGGAGCTGTGAGCAAGAGTGTTGGATGAGCCGTTGAAAGAGTTGATAGCAAAGCTGTTGATAACACAAGGATCACTGCAGCGATGGTTCTTGGTCAAGTACACGTGGAGGCGTGGAGTCCGACACCCACACTCCTTGCTGTGCTTCTGCAAAACTTCACACTTATATTCAATTTTCTTTATTGTCAGGCCGTTATCGGTTGTTGTAGAAGTGGTTAAACTCCTTCCATCACTCTCATTTCCAATATTAAATGTTTTATCTATACTTTCACATGATAATCCCTGAGTCTTTGATATTAAGAGATCTCCTCCAATCAGTAAAGCATCTTTCTCTTCATCAAAAGTTTTGTATTGCTTTGACTTTTCACAAATAAAATTTGTAAGTAAAAGGATATTACTGAACTGACAAGTATAAGTATCTTTCTCAATAGATGAAGCCTGATTAGCTTTACTCCATTTATATAAAGACTTCTGACATTTATCACTCCATCTAGATGCTGGTAGATTTATCAACAGATTTTGGAGGGTGCCAGCATCTGCTAACACCTGATTCTGTGACACTCCACTGGCAAATTTCTCAAAACCTGCTTTCACTTCTTTGGTTATAGTACCTTGAGTCACAGAGTTATTCTTATTAACATTTAAGTCAGGTATAGGATTGGAGGCAATAAAACTCTTGGATGAGATGTGGGTCTTACTCTTGAGTTTCAATGCGTGTTCACAATGGAAGCCCCCGGATTCATGTGACGAAGATAAAAAAGAAGACTTACTGGGCATACTGAGGAAGAACCACTCCCCTAATCATAAATATCTGAGTATTTATATACATATACCTCACAGGACAATAGTTCTCTCAAGAAAATACATACTTACTGGCTACATTTCATAATACAGTATATCACAATAAAGAATTATGTCACTGGTGATGAGACGTCACAGTAGACTGATTGACTAGGATGACTAGAGAATTCTCATGGTGGGGACGGTGATGGACGGTGCCTCACTCTCCAGCAGCCATTATACTGCTGCTCCTGCTGCTGGAGTCACCACAAAGGAGCACCTGGCTCAGGGCACCCACATTTTCTCTTCCATTATTCCTTAAGTGGCTGCAAGTACAAATAGGGAAATGTCACATTAGCCAAGTTGGAGGTAAAAGAGACAGGTAATGATTCCATATTTATGACATTGATGAAATATTATTATTTCTTAAGTCAAGTATACATTGTTTATTATATACTGTATACAGAATTAAGGTGTAAATATAAAAAATACACTATCGTAACAAGAATAATTTGCAGAGCTATTTACTCAATTTGAAGTGATGTTGGTAAACAATTACTAAAATAAGGATAAATTAGAATTGGAAAGTTTTTAATAATATTGAAGAATACAAACTTCAAAGATTATCTGAACTAACCTAGTTAATATTGCATAATTTTATGCACATCATTACTGTAATGTAAATAATTTTGCCTAAAGCATCCTTCAAGTTCATCAGGAAGTAAAGAATTCCATATATAAAACCTTAGAAACTAAGTTGACATATTGAGATTACTAATAAATAAAATAAGTGAAAAAATATTGCATTGCCATTTGGCAATCGTATTGTAGTGGATACTCTCCCCTACAACTGCTGACTGATCACTTGCCGTTCGCTTACCAGCCAATCGGCAGCGAGTTCCACAGAGTGGGCCTCACTCTCGGACTGCGCGGTGATTGGCCCTTTACCGCCTTCACCTCAGCCAATCAGCAGCACCGCTCACTTCTCACGTCTCGGCCTGATCCTGCAGAATCATATAAATACTCCCCAGCCTCGCCGTGAAGATGATTCTACTCTACGCTATCAAAGCAGCAAGACCTCTCAACAAGCTCCTCACCACGCAGCAACTTCCTAGCACTGCACTGTACATACTATATATATATATATATATATATATATATATATATATATATATATATATATATATATATATATATATATATATATATATATATATATATATATATATATATATATATATATATATATATATATATATATATATATATATATATATATATATATATATATATATATATATATATATATATATATATATATATATATATATATATATATATATATTACCCCGCCTAACGCGGTTTCACTTAGCGCGTTTTATCATATACGCGGTGCCTCGCCAGAGCTGAACTTTCACTTAACACGGATTTTTTCATCATATACGCGGTGAGTGTCCGGCTCGAGACGCTATTTTTAGATTTGCCCCACGCCCGCCTGCCTGCCTGCCTCTCCCTCCTCCTCCCTCCGCCTGGGCAAGCGGCGCGGTAAGGTTGCACAGTGTGTGTCTTTGTTGCATTATCACTGACGTCATATGACGTATCGGACTGTGATTGGCCATGCATCCCTACCCCCCTCTGCTGCTAGCTGTAATTGGCTTAAAGTATTATGACGTGACCACCCCGGGGAGGGAGGGAGGGAGGAAAGACGATGCTTGACCTAGCCGCGGCAGTTTCATCCCTCAAGGCCACACCGTGTAAACGCGCATCCATTGTTCCGTAAAATGGCTTCCGCCGGACCACCACCGCCACCAGAGAGAGACCTTTCCTTACCTGGACCCAGCGGCACTAAGCCAAAGAAGACACGACGTTCCTTAAGCTACGAGGTGAAGTACCAAATTGTTCAAGATTTGGAGAAAGGAACACGGCAAGTTGATCTCGCGCGCCAGCATGGCGTCAACGAATCTACGATTCGCACGATCAAGAAGGATGCAGCCAAGATCAAAGAGCACATGAAAATCACAAAGTCTGCAGGTGCTTCATCTATCAGGTATTGCCAGAACAGGGTGCTGGCAAAAGTGGAAAATTTGCTGGTGAGTTATTTGGTTCGTCAGGCGCGACGCAACATGGCGGTGGACACGCGCTCAGTGCAGGAGTACGCACGTGAGCTATACGCAGCAGTGTCACGTAAGCTGGGAATTGCAGAGCCCAAACCCTTCAATGCTTCCTCTGGTTGGCTGCATAGGTTTAAGAAGAGGAACAAGATCACCAACATCAACATTGGTGGTGAGGAAGCGAGTGCTGACCGTGTGGCGGCTAGAGATTTTCCTCCGTTCTTACGTGAGATTATGGAGGAAGGACAGTACACTGACGACCAGGTGTTTAACATGGACGAATCTGGTCTTTTCTGGAAAAAGTTACCTTCCAAGACCTTCGTTGTCCAGTCTGCCAGCAAGGTAAGGGGTCGGAAGTTGCAGAAGGAACGCATCACCGTCCTCTTTACCACCAATGCCTCCGGTACCTGTAAACCAAAGTTATCGGTGATTCACACAGCCCGCAAGCCGCACGCCTACAAGAATATGGACATGAACAAGCTTAATGTCCACTGGCTAACCGCACGTAAGGCGTGGATGTCCTCTTCTCTGTCCCTCTTCTGGTTTGACAACTGTTTTGTTCCTGACGTGAAGAAATTCTGCGAGCAACAGAATGTTTCATTCAATATTTTGTTGCTCCTTGACAACGCACCTGGACACTCGCCCCTACTTATGGATCGTCACCCCAACGTAAAAGTGGTCTTCCTTCCTCCCAACACTACGTCATTAATCCAGCCCATGGACCAGGAGTTGATCTGCAATGTGAAAGCTGCGTACTCTGCAAAGAAGTTCAAGCTCCTGAACGACTCTACCAACACCAAGGATGAGTTGCGTAAGCTGGGTGACACCGACAGCGAGAGCAAAAGCGACGAGGACAAGGAACAAGAGGCGGTGACTCAAGAACTTCTCGTCAAACAATTTTGGAAGAAGTTTAACGTTAAACAAGCTGTAGACTTCTTGGTGGAGGCATGGGATCTGCTGACTATTGCTACGATTCGTCACGCATGGAGACATGTGTTGCATGGCATACCAGGTGAGAGGAGGAGTGAACCTGTGACTGGTCAGGTTCAGACTGTTGCAGTAGCAGTGGACCTTGCCAGAGAAGCTGCGCTCAATATTACAGCTGAAGGCTTCTCCGAGACCACCAAAGAAGACATCCTGGAGGTGATCAGAGATCCTGAAGTGACTGCCGACGAGATGTTGGAAGAAGAACACGCCAGTGAAGAGGAGGAAGAAGGTGCGTCATTCTCCGAAGAACCTAGTTTAAGTCATAGTGATATTAAGTGTGCCATAGAGTTTGCAGAGAAAATTAAGTCCGTCCTTTCCCGCGACAATGACGATGACCGCTATGAAGTCTTCCATACCCGGCTGGTGCAGGCTATGGAGCCGTACATCACGGTGTATCATGACAACATAAACACCAGCCGTCAAAAAAGCATAACCGAGTTCTTCGCCCGCAACCCACCACAGCCAGCCCAAGCCAGTGATAGTGACAGTGAAGTTGACTTTGAGGGATTTGTCAGGGAAGCCCTGACAACTGTAAGTGACAGTGATGGTGATTCACCTAGTAATGGTGATTCACCTGAGGGCCAGTAATCTGCCCTCTGCCTCGGAACCAGCCTCCATCCCCGTATGCCGACCCATCTCTTCTACTACCGTAAGTGTTCCACCTAACTTTTAGTTTCTCTAACTAACCTTCATTTTTCCTATGTTAACCTTTATTTTTCCTAACCCAACCTCTTCTATATTACTTGTTTTTTCATACCATCATAAAGTTAAGATAAAATTTTTACTACAACATAGTTATGTGTCGTCAAAAAGTGGAGTTTGGGGGTCGGGCTGGTTTCTATTGGAATTAATCCCATATGTTCTGTTGTTCACTTAACGCGGATTTCACTTAACACGGGACCCTCTGGGTTCAATTGACCGCGTTAAGTGGGGTACAACTGTGTATATATATATATATATATATATATATATATATATATATATATATATATATATATATATATATATATATATATATATATATATATATATATATATATATATATATATATATATACATACACAGTAGAAGTCCAAAAATCCGGACTGCTTGGGGATTGGGTCGGTCCGGATTTTCCGGATTCTCAGGCAGTACTTTTAAAATTCAAATTTAAGGAGGAATAAAGAAGAGATGAACAGGTGCATTTTGATAGTTTATTCATTAGCAAATATAGCATGCTTCATTTATCAAAACGAGCAGTTTTAATGAAAAAGCTGTGAATTCTAGAATTTTATTCTTTGCCTTTTTTATATCATAAATTGTAGACTTTCCAATGTCGTATGTTTCCATTAGAACAGTATTGCTCACACCACGTTCTAGTTTCTTAATTATTTCAAGTTTGTCACTCAATTTCAACGTGTTCTTCTTTCTCTTCACACAACGAAGTTTATCTACTTTAGGAGCCATTATTATGGGCTTGTACAGTACAGTACTCTGTAAATGGAAAGAGTAGGACTCAAAATTACATATGTTGTCACAGTTTGATTGCCTGCTTAGTGGCGACTGGTCGCTAGGAACAGGCGCAGTTGTGGCACTCACGACATACAATAATAAAATAGCCAAATTAAAGTTTGAGTTTTCGAAAAGTCCGGATTCTCGGGTGGTCAGATTTCTGGCATCCGGATTTTTGGACTTTTACTATACAGAAAACGCCATTGTGAGTTTCCCTTCTTACCTCCATCCTAAGTGCGAGATCTACATGTACAGTAAGAATGTATGTGAACCCTATCAAAGAGAAAATAGACAAGCATAGAGAGATTTGACAACTGGCCACATACAGTACGCTACAGTATCACTACACAAGGGACACGAGACAGAGAAGAGCTGAGAACCCCTACTCTGCTCCTTCCTCACCCACTGTGTGTGATAAGTCCTGTGTATGTAAAAAATGTGTACTACCTTTATATTTTTTATCGTTTAATAATTATTTCTTCTATTTTTTTGCATTCTGTATGAAAAATTGTGTGTGCATGTAACAAAGTAAGAAAAAAAAATTACTTATTTCTACCCAAAATTACAGGTTAAAAAATAAATCCTCTGATTGTCTCACACTGGTTCCGTGAATATCTCTCAGGCATTCCCCGGCAAAATCGGAGGTGTAAATCCTAACAATACAGAATTGTACTATATTGCATTGAACATCCCATCACCTCTTGACACCTACCACATACTTGAATTATCCTCAGTT